AGTTATACAAACTTTGAAAGACCGTTAATATTTACGATTTTCGTTAAAATTTGATTTCAGAAATCTTATTTTTTTTCCCACTATAAATACCACTATAATAAACCTCCTGTCCAATTTTCAATGGCTCAATTTTAAACAAAATGACAGGAAAATTTTAAAAATAACTTTCTTGCTTAACAGCTACATTTAATTTAGATTTAAACAAAAAAGACCGGTGGTTGTTTTTCTATTGAAGCAATAATTCTCGTTTGAAACATAAATTGTAAGAATTCAAAACAATGAAATCGGTAACGCCGTAAATATTTGCCGTTTTACCTATAATTGTCTTTCAGGGTCTTTCCAATTCTTTAGAAAACCCCTTGGAAAATTAAAAAATGACTCGTGTCTTTACATGCATCAAGTAGATAAAATTTTCTTTTAGAAAAGGTTCTTCACTCTGTGCATTGGATCATAATTTTTTTTTAGAAAGTTGTTTACAGATAGAAGAAAAAAACACACATCATAGTAAATTCAATAAATCCCTCGCTACGCTCTGAATCTGAATTTAATGAATGGTACTAAAAACTGATTATAACATTTTTGTTTTTTTTTTGTAAAAATTTCGTTCCTATGTAATTTTATTTTTGGAATTTACGCCTTTTTAGCTTAGAGCCATCGAAATATATTTGTATACATTATGTATAATTAATACGCTTTGTTTCTTCACTGTTTTGCGGTCTACAGGATTATAATCATTATTATATTTAAATATTTTACGAAATGTACCTATTCATATACCTATATGTACCTATACCTGTACTAGTTTTGCGGGTGAGCGTTGGTGGGCCAAAGTATTTCTCAACTTTGAGCGCCTTTTGAAAATCACATCACAGTTATAATAATAACGTCACCGCACGGAACGCGATATTATCATATTATTATAGAGATCGCGGTCTTTCTTACACCAATTTCGCCCTTTCATGTATATACTACCGAGAGTTATTTCATACTACCTAAGCCTTACGTATACACACATACAAAATTATGTATAAATATTCTAAACATGTCGGTCCGTATACCGATATTTACTGTAATGTACACCGTGTAGGACCGTTAGTACCGTTAGACGATTTAATTATACCGAAAATATTACAACGCAACACTATAATGTGATTACACAATTATTTCTCGTTAAAACTCATGAACATTATATGCTGTGGATTAACTTATAAACGGGACGTGCTACTTACGGGAATAGGATACTTAAAACGTTTTAACTATAGATACTGTTGTTCCCGTATGTCTCACACATATTATACATAATATAATGGGAACTATTAAATAAGCACCTATCTATTTCAAAATTGATAGTGCGTCACACGCTTTATTATTATTACAACGCCATCTTTACTTAGGGCATTTACATTGCCTTGTATTTAGTGAATTTTGATAATTTCTGTTTCTTCTATAACAACAATAACGCAAGTGCACTGTATGTTAAAAGCTATTATTACAAATGTATTTATATAAACATACCGACTATAAGCGTTTGTTCTACAAACATTTTCAGTGAAGGACGTGATACACAACCCGTAATTCGACTGGAAAAAGTGATTTGCGCGGATGGAAAATACTCTGGATTAAGAAATACAATTTCTGTTAGAAGAAAAGGAAAACTTTAGTTTTATCCTTTTGATAACGTGAATACAAAAAAAATGAATATAAATGGTATTATTGTTGTAAAATATGATAATTTTAAGTTTTCCAACTTGAATAACTATAAAATCAACATTACATAACGCGGGTTTCCTTTTATTGTGATGAAAATTTGGTTTCTTCATAGTTAAGAGTATATTATGAATTGAGTGGTTTTTGACTGCGTGAAACGATTTCTCCATTCTAACATTTTTGTTTATTATTTCTTTCACGAAAACACAAAAACCATACTCCTGTTTATTGAATTATAAATGTGTAAATATATTTGAAAGAAAATATTTATAAATCGATTAGTTTACATTTTTTTTAACTTCGATAAAATTACTTATTCGCAACCCTTTAAATATATGTGGTAGCACGTCCTCTTAAAATATACCTATTGGATTTGTATAAATGTGTTGTCTGATCAGTGGCATATTTTTGGGGGGACGATTACATATTTTATCCTTGATCTTTTTTATGGTATCTATTATTTACACGACTTCTGAGTTTTTAAATTCAAATTTCTTTATTTTTTAGTCAAAAAACCTCAAAGGGCTGAACGTATACATTTGCTTGTTTAAAATGAAAAACCTATTCGAACTACTATAATATGAAGTAAATTATAGAATATAGTATCTAAATAGTAAATAAACCAATAATAATATCTAACACCTAAGTGATTCGATTTTAATGATAATTTTGGAGGAAATTTAACTATAAATAATTAATAAAAATTGATTAAAAATATATCTACACACATGTAATAGAACAATATTTCCAAATTCAATATCTCCCTTCTTAGAAAAATCCTAAATACGCCACTGTGTAATTTACATATGCTATTGCTTTCGTCTATTCGAAATAAATACTCTTCTATTAATGTCGATACTTAATTGGTTAATAATAATTACAACTTTGTCACTAAATTTAAAACCATAATAATTTTATGTTTATTCGAACGTCTACCCGATTTTTTTTTTATTTTACCTAACTTGATTTTATAAAAATGTATGACTACGGTCGCGTTATTGTAATTAAAATAAGCCAAACATGAATAATGAACTGAGCCATTATTATTTTTATTATCATAAGACCAACCTAACTAAAAAATACGTAATATTATATAGGTACTTGTAGTATTAAATTAAAGTTGAAAATAACTAAAATTTTACGAGTAAAATTAACTGACTGCACTGAAATATTTCGTTAATATTTTAAGATAGTTCCCCCCTTGTGAAAACTAATATTATGAATTAATAAAATAACATTTTCTTTTTTTTTAAAACTCACGTAAGAAAAAACCATAAAATAAAAATGTTACCCAACAATTTGAGTTTTTTTTGTATGAATTATGAAACTTTGAACTTCACCGATTTAGTACGGGCTTTTATATTATAATAATTATAATGATCAAATCATTAAATACTTGTAATGTGTCCACGAATTTATTCCTATCTTGTCGCTTGCCTATATAATTATGTTCTGATATAAGATTACCTCCTCTTACCTCCTCGAGTAGGTGATTTGTAATTACCCAAATTATTGCAGAACACATTTTGGGAAAATCGATATGTGTGGGCGATCAAAATACACGTTATAAATTTCACCCCTATACATTACGTTAATAAAATATTCTATAACTTTATAAAAACAAAATTCCAGAAATCAATATTCAATTAAAATACTTCGAAAAAACTCAGGATATTTGGATCACCCTGTATTCTATTTTATATGCTACACAAGGAATTGTAGGATGGTTACAAGACGGCATGACTGCAACAGAGTTTTAAATTATATTCTCTAAGTTTATCAAAACTATCTTAATACATTCTTTTTTACATAACTTTGTATTCCTATCTACGTATAATTCTGATTAAAACGGAATACTTAGTTTAATATTACGATCAATATTAAAATAATTTTATTTGTCATCGAACACTTAATATTTTCCGCAGGGCAATTCATAAACAAATTATATGAATTTTTAAATAGAAACTTATTATTTTATTCAGTTAAAAATTATAACCATGGACTTTCTATAGAACAAACTTTATTCGTAATATTTCAATACCAATAACACCGAGTACAAGGACACGTACGTCCTCGTGTACGCTATGTAATGGTTTCTCTATAATAATAAATGAGAGTACATAGAAGAATTCTCGAGGGAATTTTCTTCCTTTGTCTGTTACACATATACGCAGCATAATAATATAATTTAGACCGATTTTCCATCAATCTGTTCAACGTAGTGAAACGATAAGAATTCTGAAAACAGATTTCAACTCAACGTGTGAAAAATGCGTATAAAAAAAATTCACGGTCAGGTCACTTTCTTAAATTTTAATTAAGCTTTTTTTAAACTTCCAAATAAAAGTTATGGAAACAAAGGAATTTGGCATTTGAGAAGGTGGACCGGTCGATCTTCTGATGATCGCTCGAGCTGGAATATGTTTTCGGAATAATTATTATGGTTTCATTATGTAAAATCGACTGAAGTCGACTGATCTATGGTATTGGTATTTGATATGTACAACAGAAAAAAAGAAAATATTGGAATCTATTGACAACAAATTTACATAATATTATAATATATATATAGTCAGTAGCGGCGCGACATATTTTTTTTTGTATGAAATAAAACAATTTTATTTAGATTAGAAAGTTCTTATTTCAGTTAAGTTTCCACTAAGTAGAAAATTCGTACTACAGCCGACGCGTTAAGGAGGTGTTTTTTTTAATGTAATTTATTATATTTTTCTTAATGCTACAGCAGAGGGGAGACAACGAAATAATATACACTCAAAACTATAGGTTTTTGACAAAATTGATTTTGTTTTTGTAATATCCTGCATAAGAAATTTGTAAGTGTACAAATTATAGTTACAACATCTAGTGTTTAAACAAGCACAATGAAATCTAAACATTTATATCGTAATAATTAAAAAAAAAAAAAACCTAAAATTAAATGAGTTTAAAACTCATTTGAGAACCGAAAATTCGCTATAATAATTGTCAAAATGATTATGCCTGCAGCTATGTATGTTATACAAATATAATTAAATATGTTAACGAGTATCATGGCCAGGACTCATAACTTGTAGCATTGGCACAGAAATACTTAAATAAGTAATACATTTGTTTGAAAATAAATTATTTCTTGCATTATGTGTTTTTAGTGTTATTTTGGGCTAATTTTTTTATTTAACTCTTCCAAAAGTTGATGATCGGATCATAATTTCTGGTGAAAAAACTGTTTACAGACAGGAAATATAAAAATATATAAAAAGGCACACATCATCTACATTTATAGTAAAACCACTAAAACCAATATATTTCTCACTACGTTCAGAGTTTAAAAGTCTATAACTCTAAAGAGGGTGCACTCCACGGGTCAGTTAACTAACTTTTGAGGTGGGTCACTAGTCAATTTAATTTACCCACAAATCAAATTTCACTTTCCACGCCATTGATCGTCACACTCTTGCCGTACACACCACTTAAACGTAAATAATAAAATACCTATATTATTATAATTCATGCAATAATATACTAATCAATTATTATATTTGAATTTTTAGCTTCTTCAAATTCAACAATTAAGAATAATAATAACATAAATAACCTATAAGATTATATTTTTATCTATTGTTTGAGTACCTATACCTACTCATCCATATACCACTATTCCGTCATTAACCGCTCTTATTCCGTACCAATAACCATGCACCCACCCAATGACTAGACTCCTGTTTTGAGACTCAAAATATTGCCTTCGCGCCACCACTGCATATAGTTAAATCATTCAAACGTTATTGTGGAAAGTATATCGAATGATATGCGGAACAAGTTCGGACGACAACGATACCAGCTACTATTCTAACTTATCGAACTGTCAGCCGCCGTTAATATAATAGTGTTAAATGAATTTTGAATTCGAGTAAATTCAAGTGTTGTTTTATTGAAATCGGTCGAGTAGTTTTCGAGATTACCTTGAGCAAACGAATTAAATGTGTTAGGAACGTCTCTAATTATATAGGTAAATCGTAGCTAAAAAATATAATGCTTACAGTAATTATATAGTTACTAAGCATTGGTATATACAGTCAGCGATAATCCAATATTGATATGTATTTTTTTTCTATCGATTTTATTCGTTATTTTATAACCGAATTCTATTACGTGTGCTTTATTTTTCTACGCAATACTACAAATAAATGTACACTTCCTTACCTGAAATTGCACAAGTTACTATTGCGTTGTATAAAAGTAGTGGATTACCTAGGATTTTTCAATTGAAGGGTTTAAACTAAAAAATACTTGTTTAAATAGTCAATTCTAAATAGTTTATATTATTTGTTTGTATTTGAGACATGGTCAATGGGGAGGACTGAAGCTCTCTTGGCCCTCCCCCTGGGTAAGCCATTGTAGTATTAGTGATGGCTCTTTTTTGTGTCAATCGTAAATTCATACCATAAAAACGAATTCACCAGAGTGAATTTTATACCGTTCGCACGTGACAACAGTTTAATGCGGTGTCTGTGAGGGGATAAAAATATATTATTCGATTTTAGCGTATGTACCTACTCGTGATAATGGTCTTGTCGAGGAATAATTTTTACTCGTATCTGATTTATTTTTGGTAGAAATAACGGCTTGAACGTGATTGTCAGAAAAAAAAAAGAATTACAGTTAGAAACATACAGTTACAACACTATAGTGTACAGCCTACAGCCACCACGAGCCATACCAGTAAAAGTTCAAATTAGAATTATCGGAACTAAATAAAAATGTTCCATTGTTGCAAGTCTATACTAATTGGCCTGGTGTACCGGTTATTTATTCATTCTTTTAAACCTTCTACTAGACAGGTTAATTTCAGTATACCAGGAGATTTGTATCCCAGTACTCACCCCAGTACTCACCTCAGTACTCACCCCGGTTCCCTTTTCGTACTATTCTATCAAGTAAAGTTTATTTTTATAAGTAATTTTTACATTGACGGTTTTTATCCACCTTTCACCCTTATACTGTTGACTGAGGGTAGAATTGCTAACCGAAAAAAATCTTTATAACCACGCAGTTTCTATAATTAAATTCGTTTTTCCATCGTTACCGAAGGAATCTTCAGAACTAAATAAAAAAAAAAAATTCGTAAAATCTAAAATTCATATTTGAGCTTCTCTCCCTAATTCTTAATATTCCTGTAGAGAAAATAAAAAATGTATAGACAATATACCTATATCTTTGTTCGTGACATACTCAATACTTAATAAGAGAAATTTGGTGCGAAATTTAGTGGTGATGTCTCAAACGATATAGATTGTATTCTAGACAAAAAAAAAACTTAAGTTAAGTTTATGTTTAAAAAACTTTTATAAATAAAATTAATAAAGTTAAATGCTTTTTTCTTTACGCAACAAACTACAAGTAGGTACATCAAAACGCAATAGCAGAAACGTTTATTTGTGAAAAATAGGTGCTGACGATAAATTGAACGGAGAATAGGAAAAAGGGACAAGTTCGATACAATTGTGGAAATCCAAGAGTATTTTTTCGAAACGTATAAAAGTAATGTAGTGTATCGGCACGAAAACAACAATGAGAGATTTTCTGAGGCGCTGTCGACAAACGAAAAGGAGCATTTATTGTGAGTGTACTAGACAGAGATTACGCGGAGAACGTTCTGTACTTCAACTCGTAACAGAATTAAAGGCACCGAGTTCCTCAATTATTGAAATACATTCGTATATTGAAATTATTATTCAAAATTAATGGAAATAAATTTTCTACGTATTATTGTATGGACAATCGACGAATCAAAAGGTCTGGCAATGAATAATGTAACAATATTATGATTCGAAAACATTTGTGTATAAGAATTCCTCTTTCGGGAGTCAAATATTTGTAATAATAAATGCACATTGTAATGCCTATCAATAAAAATAAAAACTTAATTAATTGATATTTACCTATGTTTCATGGATGTAGAGTTGAAAAAATGTGCACGCGTTTCGTGCAGTCTGCGCTATAAAATAAAAGCTTTAAAAGTATTTAGTATTCATTTCTGTTTATAATTTAATATGTATTGTTGATGTTATTTCTTCCATATTATAAAGTTTATACTTATCTGTTTGAACTTTATCGAAATACATGTCGTAAGTTTTCAGTTGGATACCTCGAACTTTCGCGGACAAAATACATAGCTCTCTTGTAGGAGGTAGTCAATTTATATAGAGGGTACCTACAATAATGTATACGCGTGCACCTACCAATAACTATTTCGTGTAATATGCTTTTGTAACCATTTATTATTCGAGTCTGCCGAATTTTACGTTATCGTTTCTAGAGAGTATGTGGAGTGTTTATGCACATAATATACGTAAAAATTCAATCCTCCACGTTTGATAATATTATAATAAGATATATTTAAATTTTTAAAGAAATATTTATTTTTCTGCAACAACAAATTTATACTGAGGTACACGTTTTAAAAATATTTGATAAGTTATTTATCATAATGTCATGCTCAGAACAACAGTAGTGTAATTCAACAAAAAAATAAATAAAAAATAACATATACTGCTGATAGTTGCACTACTATTATAAATGTTAAGTTGGTACATGTAGTAATTTATTATATTTCTGTACGTAACGACAGATCATTACCAATTTCGATTACGTTTCTAAGCGAAGTTTAAATAAATATGTTTTAAAATTGGGTGTTTTTATGATTTTCAAAAATGTACAAAATTTAAATGTAAAACTTTAGTAGAAAAAAAAAGTTGAGTGTAATAACTGTTTTTAGTTTTAACTTTTTAACTGCTAAATACAATTTATGATGAACCGCATGTAAAATACTCAAGAAGTTCTGCTCGGTCAAAACATTTTTTTCTACATAAAACTACTTACAAATTTAAAAAAAAAAACTCGAAAATGCCAAATGCTTATAAATAACCTAAAAATCATTAAATTAATAAAAGTATTCGGTGATAATTTCAAGTCTTTATGCAATCATGTTTAATGAAATTACAAAAAAAAAAAAAAACTAAAAACGAAAATTATGAAACCATAATTGCATTAAACATTTTTCCTATTAGGTAATTAAGAAAACTGTAAGAAAAATTAAAATTATTTTTCAAATCGTATTTTTTACAATGCACAATATTGTTATGGACTCTGTCCTTCGTGTGTATACATTTATTAAATACGAATTAATACTTTTACGCAATTAAATCTGAAATCGGGCGTGGCGTTGCAACAGCATTACTTATAATTATTAATTGTCAACCAAATTTATTAAAAATATTAAAAAAAACTAACTGTCCACTTAAAAACACTCGTTCATTTTCCCGTCCGAAGGTTGTGTCCGAACGGCCAGTAACAATATTTTAGATTCTGAGTGAAACCAGTAATGTATTGGTTTTATTTTGATGTGTTTTATTTGGAATAAAATAATAAAGTAAAAACACAATTGTTAATAAGTTAATACTCGTAAATAAATGTATAAAATCTTTTTTTATGTGTAGAAATAAAAAAATAAAAAATGAATGCGTCGCCTGGAGTATTATGATATGTGTATTGTATGGCCGGTTTCGAATTAAAAGTTCAACAATAGGTAAATCACTATTTCAAAAAGTATATGAAAAATATTGAGTATGAAAAAAAAGAGCTGATACTGGGGTTGGGAGCGGCCACTGTTGTTAGATGAGTAGTTGGGAAGGATACGTAAGGTTATTTTATTTATATCTGTAAGCAACGATAAACCATTGCTGATGAAAGACGATTCCGAGCGCAGTTCGGTAATACATAATTTGAAGTGCCGTAATTTTTTTTTTTGTGATTTTCTTTTAAATTTGAATTCAAAACGCTTATTAAAAAAAAAAAAAGCCATCCGATGATTTTGGAAATTTTACCACGTCTAGATAAGTTCAATAAAAGTATTATTATCAAGTTCCAAGTTTTGTATAACCGAATTAAAGCAAACAAACTCCCAAAAATTAAAATTCCTTAAAAGCTCAAAATTTTTTCAAAAGCTTTTATGATGATACCATAAGAAAGTAAATCAAAAAGGCAACAAAAAATATGTCTTTTGATGTCCATGTTTTAATAAAATAATGAAATTGTGAAGTTGTACGTTTTCTAACGTTTTTTCCCACTTAAGTGCTTTCATTTAAAAAAAAATAGCGTCGAAAATCAAAAAATGACCTATTTAAAGTACAATCTGGACAACTTAAGGTTTTAGAAAAGTTGCTATACATAAAAATCGGAGTAAGTTTACTAGGATAAAACGTGTCCACAGACTAGAACAAAGAATAAATTAGAAATAAACAGCATTGTAAAACCAATAGCTCCCTCGCTACATTATACGAATTGGTCGGTTTACGAAAAAATAATCTATTTTGATAGGAGAAATTATTTAAAATTGGTTATTATTAGACATAAATATGTTAAGAAACATAGGTTATTTGGTTATTATTTATTATTTAAAATTTATCGATATAAAATATTATTATTTTCAAAATAGGTTTGTACATTTCAAATATTATTAAAATTATATTTCTTTATTTCATTGTGTATGTGTAATTCTTCTAAAACTAAATTAATGTAAATGTTATTTTGAGTATTGAATATTTCTACACTTGTATTAATCTCATAACTTATATTATGGTTATTTTCCAAAACATGTTTTGCGAAATTTGAATTAGGATCGGTCTTTTTTAATTTTATTTCAGAAATGTTTTTTTTTATATCTTATTTTGATATTTCTATTTGTCTTCCATGTATACAATTTATTACAGTAACATTTAAGTTTATAATTTACCAGCGTTTTCAAAATAAGAGGGATTTTTTGTGAAATTTTCAGTTCTATTGTTTATATGTTTGATTAAACTATTATTAGTCTTAAAAGCGGTTTTCTCATTATTTGTATTATTGTTCAGAATTTTAGCGAATCTTTTAGAGACATGTTATATTGATTTTTTTTTACTATAATAGTTATTATTATTATTATTTTTGTCTTTTAATAACTATTCTACCAGAAATTTTACTCCAATAATAAATGCCACAAGAAACTCTTGTAGAGTTTTTTTTTTTTATCTATTTAGTATATTGTGGTTATTTTTTTTATTTTCCTAGTCATTTTCTTAGTAAGTACGAAAAACTGAATAACTGAAAGTACAATTTTTGGTTGATTTTACGGTTTTCTTGGCAACAAGAGAATAGATACCATTAATTATAATCTGTTCATAATTTCCTAAACTCCTAACAGTGGAACACCAATCAGCTTATATTAACCTTTTTTTTTTCATAAAATACCTAATAATTGATCAAAACTAGTATAGTCATACTATTTATTACAATTTAGTAATTATGAAGATCGATATCTTTAGCAAAATTTTTGAAAGAAAAAGAATGAACACAAAATATTTAGTAAATACGTAATAATTTTTAACGGTTGGAATCAGTTATTTAATATAAAAATATAACTGGAGGCGCATTTTTTTATGATTAACATTATGTACGAAAAGTACACAAAACAAAATTAAAAATTTCCAAAGTTAGTTCAAATATCGACAGTGTACATAATTATCTAAAAAGGAAGTGCAGATTGTTTATTTATGTGCGATCCACTGCAGGGTCCACCACACGCAGAGGTCGTGTGAACTTAGAAGCCGGATTTTCCGCCTATATTATCACAAATTACGAAAGAAATCGTTTATTATTTTTATGTCAATTGTAATTATTAGGGCCCAGATTTTAATTCTAAATACATCATTTTTTGAGTGATATTACATAATGCTTTACAAGTACATAATTTAATTCATGTAACAAAGACTTCAAAGGTGAAATTTTGTGTTTTTGCCTTTTTTTCTTTTCTTTTTTTTTCATTTTTAGAGCATTTTTTTAGAATTTTTCGGTAATTGTTTTCGTTTTATTTTAAATAAATTTGTACAATATTCATGTATAATATTAATTAGTATTTGTTCATAATACGGCTATCCATTTATACGCCTTAATAATTTAAATTTAGGTAATTTAAAAATATATTACTCAAATTTTCGGTATTTTTATTCAAATAGTCCAAATACTGTCCCTCCCTTAGTCAATGCTATCGTCGCTTGTCACAAGTAAAATTTTTCAATTTTTTAATTAAAATAAAAATATTATAAACTACTTAATAATATAATACTTTTAAAAAATGTATATGTCATTTCTTTTAAGGGCCTTTCGTGGTAAAATGCATTTTTAGCTTTTTTTTTAGAGCATTTTTCAATGATTTTTAGTGCATTTAAATCCGGGCTCTAGTAATTAGCATTTGTCATGAAAATTATAAACGAAAATAGAGAAGAGTTTGATTCCTCGCCCCTTCTTTTGCTCCAGAGTTAAGACCTTGAGCATTTGGTATAACTTTTGAATTAAAGTATATTTTGGTATATAATAATATAATAATACTATTGGTACCTACAGTCAATATATTACACATTATACTAATAATAGTACAATATTCCTAATAATTTTTTTCCCAACATTTAAATAGAGATTAATATATTGTATTTTAAAACATTTAAAAATATGCACGTTATATGTTTTTCTTTATTTAATTTCAGTCGAACATAATAATACAGCAATATATTATGGAAATCGCGTATTGAATTCAATTTAATTACTCATAATACGAAATGTTATTCATACTTGATTTTATGAACTTTTTATACAAATATTTAATTGTTGAATGTATTCTTATATATTTTCGGCAGTTAAGGTCTTGATCTAATAATATAAAATAATTATATATTTGTTATTTGTATTTCTTTGTTATAAATATTAGGTATCGGGTTAAAAATTCAAGAAATAACGACAGACCATTTTGTTCGAAAAACGATTCCACGGGTGTTTTGTTCAGCTGTTTAAAAAAAAATTGAAGTTTGCATTGAAAATTCAATTTTTGCCTTTTATCAGTATTATATGTTTATTGTTTACGTTCTATAAACTTGATTAGATTTCTGAGCACGAGAGACTCATTTGGGCCCAGTATTTTTTTATTATAAGAAATAAACAATAAAAACGGATAGACATACTTCGCACAACGGGTTATAGGAAGCACTGTTGTAGGTTAGAAATTGGGAAGGTAGAAAATAGGAAGGAAATATAATTTATATCAGTTCGCAGCGATTATTCATTGCTAACGAAAAACGATTGTGAGCGAAGATCGGTCAATATTATTGCTTTTTCAATAAAAGTACATTTTTACGACAATAATGATTGTTTAAAAATGATTAAAAGATTAAAGTAATAAAAACTGATAAGCTAATAACCCAAGTTGTTGAAGCTGTACCATGATGAATAATAATAACGAAAATAAATAAAAACGGTTGCCAGTGACAACCTTATTTTTAATCTTTTAATCTTTTTTAAATCTAAAGAACCAATTTATCCTTATTATCTCGAATATTAATCAGAATTTCAAAAAGTAACCCTTGTTAAGTATCAGCTAGACCTAAAATGCAACAAAAAAAGTCTTTTGTCATATTTTGATTGCAGCAAGATTTCTAGGAGAAATTTTGTACTATATAGTTTAAAAAAAAATAAACATCATTGTAAAACTAACGCATTCCTCGTTTCGCTTAGAATTTAAAATAAAAAAATATTATGTAGGTACTTATACCGAAAAAAAACCTCTCTTTATTGAATGCCCCATCCAGAAAATTATAGGGTTTTTAAGCATTTTTACCGTTCCAATTAAAGGCACGAGAGAGAAAATACTCGAGTCGTTGTAAAACTATAATGTGACTTTCTCACCGTGTGATTTTAGTTTATGTATACAATTTTACATTACGAAATTTGCTTTGGCGGATTAATAACCATCGAAATTATAATAATACGCGTGTTGAAGGCATGTGTCCGCTTCCGTCGAATAACGCTACATCGTGTAACCGTTCGCAATCAAAACAAAATATATTTATTTTTTTGAATAAAGTGTAAAATCAACATTGGAAATATATAAAAGAGTTGATTCGCTTCGTACATATTTTCGTTTGGTTTTTTGCTGGTCCGTGTCCGCTACCGTACTATATTTGAAAATTGTTACGTTTAATATTGGGTGTATAGAGCCGACTTCTCGGTATAGTTTTTTCTGGCGGAACCAAATTACGGTAAACATTTAATAGATAGGTATAAATAGTAAGTCTGTATCCAATCATTTTGCCGAACTAGTTAGAAAATATAACTAAAGGGCTATGACACGACAGCCCACCACCGGAATACCGTATTAAACATATTATTTACTATTCGGACAATTTTTGTTCTTTTATTTCGTTAGCGTTCGTTTGTGAAAACACAATCCTCTTTTTTTTTCCACATCAAGAGTAATAATATATTGTGCGTGTATAGGTATACCCAAAAATCAGACTACTGTAATAAAAAAATAAAAAAAAACCTGTTAGAAATACACGTAATGCGGTGTATAATTACAATATTCAATACTACCGTTAATTGAATCGTTTTTATGTATTATATTAAATTTGTTTTACATATTTTATCATTTTTTATTATCCATAAGTATACTTTTTAGCTTTCGAGTGAATCGAGAGTTGATAATGAATGCATTATAGTATTTTTTGGACCAAGTAGTGAGTCGGACGTTGTACCACAATGCTCGATTTTTAAGGGCAATGTAAAAGAAGTTCGTCGTCCGGAAATTAAATACAGTATCCAAATATAGTTTGGTGAAGCAGATTAAAAATTGATACAATTTAAATTTAATAAAAAAATATTACTAAGTTTCAGTTATATTTG